GACAGCCACAAACAGACCCCTCACCAGCCCACAGTAAACTCATAGACCCAGGGCCTCCAGCACCCCCTCACCGTGGCTGTTCGCTGCTCATCGAATTTCTGGTTTTTCTGCAGCTCCTTGTAGAGCTCACCCTTTGGAGCATATTCCAGAATCAGGTATATCCGGCGAGCATCATGGAAGTAATTGTACAGCCTTACGATATTGGGGTGTCTGAAGGAAGGATGGAAGAAGGGTCACAGTTTTCCCTGAGGCCCAACACATGATGCTATCATCAGTGATTGGTCACACAGTGGCAGTTGTGCTGGGACCAAAATAATAACAGCTCAGTCTGGGAGTGAGTGAAGGGAGAACAGGGGACAGGCATCAAGATTTGGTGCCTGCCACACAGAGGGAGATTTACGTGGCGTAACTGGAATGAACAGAGAAAAATCTTAATGATAGAAGCAAAGGGCTTTCTTGGGGGTAGCATGGGGGGGCGTGTAGAATTTGACGCTAACAAATGCTGGGTTCGGACGTCAGAGATGGAAGAGGAAACCAGGAGAACGAGTAAAGACCCAGTGCGCGAGTCTCATGCCGAGGCTGTCCTTACTGTAGATGCCACTGGATTCTAATTTCCCTGCGTAGCTGGTGCTCCAGTCCTTCCTTCTCTATCTGGGACTTGAAAAGAACCTTCAGGGCCACAGTAAAATGGTTTTCCTTGAGGCGAGCCAGGTACACATTCCCAAATTTCCCCTTGCCCAGAGGAGGCCCGATTTCAAAGTCATCGATTGTGAAGAGCCGCCTAACGAGAGAATAGAGCCTCAGCTCGGGAGGTGGGGCGGGAGGAAGAAAAGTCAGGATCCCGAATGCTCCTCTTCCTCTTTCACTCTCTCCTCCCTCTGCCGCCTGCCCTTCTCCCGGGCCCAGCCTGGGTGTGTCGTCGTCGTCGGTCCAACGGGCCAAGGAGCCCGCACTCTATCCTCACGCCCGGCTCGGTGTTCATCCGCGGATCCCACTCCCTCCTCACGCCCAGCTCCGTGTTCATCCGCAGTTCCACCTCCCTCCTCGCGCCCGGCTCGGTCTTCGTCCCGGAGTCCCACCTCCCTCCTTGCGCCCGGCTCGGTGTTCGCCCCGCGGTCCCACCTCCCTCCTGACGCCCGGCTCGGTGTTCGTCCCCCGGTCCCACCTCCCTCCTCACGCCCGGCTCGGTGTTCGTCCCCCGGTCCCACCTCCCTCCTCACGCCCGGCTCGGTGTTCGTCCCCCGGTCCCACCGCCGCCCTTCTCCACCGTGAGCGGAAGGCACGCACCTGGCCGGGCTGCTGGGCCGCGAGGTTGCCGGGCCTTCTGCACCTACGGAAAGGAAGGGAGGAAGATGGGGACGGGGACAGAAGGGGAGGGCGGAGAGGGACAGATGTCCACACGTTCT